TTCTGGAATATATTAACATTTTTAAAATATTACATTTACTAGGCAAAACCTCAGAAGAAGGTCTAGGAAATCACTGAGGAGCAAAGGAGATGGGGCAGCCCCAAGAGTCAATACTGGAAAATCTGTTCTCAGTAGAGAGTCTGTCCTACAGGTGCACCAACTCCCTAGTTTCAGGTCATCAGCCCTATTGTCAGGTCACTTTGAGCACAACCCTCCTTCTGTGTTTGCCTGTTTGCTGGAGAGAAGTACCCTGGAAGCATCATAAAGAGAGGCCAGGAAAGGGCTATTCAGGCTAATGTCAGGACAGGGTCCTCCCTACACTGGCATGATTCTGGGCTTGGAGGAGCCAAAACGTGCCACTTTAGGAAGAGGGTAGAATTAATGTGCATAATACCCCTACTCTGCCATTTTCACATATTGAAACTCAATAAAGTATTTGTATTATTGGCAGTTTTAAGAAGCCTGTGTATGGTTAATTCAGTACTTATAGTTTATGGCTAAATTATACAGCAGGGTTTTGAAATGTGTTAATGCTTCATCAATCACATATACACTTTTTTAGAGCTGAAAATTACCACACCTCGTCCATGGTTCTTGGGCCAAATCAGAGGGATTCTTTATGTGCTAACTGCTTTTCTTTCATTAAAGTGCTGAGTATGAATAATGAGATGTAAGGGGTTATGCTGGGTGTTAGCACTGAAGACGGTCTGTCAGCCAGTGTGAGAATATTAGCCTACTCTCAAGACACCCAGGATGTTTGATCTGCAAGCAGAATAACAGAAATTGCAATAAACCCTCTTCTTTTTAGAGCTAATTTCCATTGCAAGTAATTTGCTTAGCATTATTTAACACTCTTCTTTAGTATGATATGGAGCAAGGCAGGGAGGATATGTCAGAGATAAGTTAGTCAACCTAAACAACCTAATGTTTACGTCATTGCTGCCATTACAGGAGTCCCCTCCTTATCCACAGGGGACACATTCCAAGATTCCCGGTGGATGCCCGAAACCACGGATAACATCGCCCCTTATATCTATTTTTTCCTATGCATACATACCCATGATGAAGTTTAACTTCTAAATTTGGCACAGAGCTTAACAACAATAACATAATAAAATAGAAAATTATAACAACATACTGTAATAAATGTTACGTGAATGTGGTCTCTGTCTCAAAATACCTTACTATCCTGTACTCACTCCTCGTGATGATGTGTGATGATAAAATGCCTATGTGATGAGCCGCAGTGAGGGGATTGACGTAGGCATGTGATGTAGCCTTGAGTTACTGCTGACTTGACCTTACATCAGAAGGAGGAGCATCTGCTTCCGGACTGCGGTTCACCGCAGGTAACTGAACCCGCAGAAGGCGAAACCGCAGATAAGGCAGGACTACCGTACTTATCACTAAAAACAAAGCTGAGCGATTTTCAGAAAGTTTGCCAGAGTTGAGGAGAGCTAGACTCCCTCATTAGCCAATGAAAGAATCGTTCTTAGTTGGCATTTGAATCTCCATCAGACATGTCTTTCCCCTCCTTCATTCTCATTTTCTACTCACTTCTGAGCATTCATTTTCTGCTACATAATTTCCTCTTACCTATAACTGCCTCCCTCCCTCTAGGTCTCTTTTCCTCTGTCTTCTGCTCACCTCTGATTACTCACCTCAGTATTTATCTTTATCATAACCTTTATCTTATAGGGAACAGGAGAGGGGGTCTGACAGCAGGGAAACACCAGGTGGAGATCAGCGTTTTAAAACAGCTCTGAGCTGCATTGCAAAAATAGGGGAGAGATTAGAACAAGAAAAATCAGTGGGGAGGGAATAGCAAGGGCCTGAATTAGGACAATAATGACAGTAAAGGCAAGACAGACCAGATTTTTTTTTAACATGATGAAAGCAGACTTAATAGGATGTGGTGCCTGGCTGTAGGTCAGTGATAAAGAGGAGAAAATGAAAACTAATGTGAAGTGCTCTAACCGTGCCGGCAGGTAAACACGGCTCCTTTCACAGAGATGAGAAACTAAGGCAAGTGATCAGGTTTGAAGGAGTTGAGGTGTTCAGGCTTGGACAATACAGAGCTGCATTTAGGGGTGATGTCCAATATGTCAATGGACAATCACTATTCTAAATGGACAGGAGAACTTCTCGATTTAACAGGAATTAAGATTAAGAAAATTCTCCAACCATTTTCTCCTTTACCTCCTCTCTTCATTTTACTAAAACAAAATATGTGTTGAGAAGCTACTGCATGCCAAGTCCTAGTATAGGCATTAGTGAGAAGAGAGAAAAAAAGTAAACAGTGTCTGCTCAGGGCATAGGCAAGCTCTGGCGGGAGACGACACCATCAGAGCATATAGTGCTGAGATGAGGTGAAGGTTACCTGAGGAAGCTTCATGGAAGGGGCAGCATTGATCAGGGATGGACTATGCTTACTTACACTAGGTTCATTAACTCACCTAATGCCTAGAGGGAAGAACACATGCTTGCTGCTTCCCTTCACAGTCTGGACATCCCCTGCAGTTTCAAGCAGACTATGATAAGACAGATTCCTCCCCAAAAACAGTCAGAGAGACTTCACTGCACTCATCCACATTCCTTCTGTGGAAGTAATACTGTGACTTCTTTGTGGGAGAACTTTTGTTAATTTTCTACCTTGTATGTCTTGGTAACAACGTATTTATAACCAACTTCTGGAATGCTATGCAATGCTATGGTAGAGGTAAAAGTTTAATCCTGAGTCTTGTGAACTCTCTGGAATCTACCCACCTAGAGAAAAAGCTACCCCCCACAGAATACAGAGACTGAAGCATCCTGATGGAGATTAGGGTGCTTAAATTTCAGGCTGACCCAGCAAGTCTACTCCTAGGCATTTACCCAAAGAGAAATGAAAATGTACGTCCACAGAACGATTTGCATAAGAATATTCACAGAAGCTCTACTTATAACAATCAAAAACTAGAAACCACCCAAATGTCCAACAACTGCTGAATGGATAAACAAATTGTAGTGTATCCATGCAATAAAATATCACTTAGCAGCAATATAAAGGGATGGACAATTGATAAAACAACATGGATAAATCTCAAAAGCATTATATGTGAGTGAAAGAATACCAGACTCGGAAGACTGCACATTCTATGATTCCACTTCTATGAAATTCTAGAGAAGAAAAAACTCTAGTTCTAGGAAGCAGATCAGTAGTTACCAGGGGGCAGGGGAGTGGAGGAGGAGATGGACAGCAAAGGTGTACGAGCAGTGTTTGGAGTGATGAAAATATTCTCTATTATGCAGTGGTTACATTACTGTGTACAGTTTTTAAGCTCATTGAATTGTATACTAAATTTGGTAAATTTATGTAATTATGCTTCCATAAAGCTGATTTTTTTTTTAAATCAGCCTGAGCTGAGGAGTAGGCCCAAGCATTCCCAACCAGAAGATGCCAATGGCCCTTGGGAAGCTGTATGAGCCAGCACTACCTCAGCCCTCTGGCTGCTACAGCCCTAAACAGAACTCCTCTGCTTCAGTGCTTTAGCTCAGACCATGACACCCCCTGGCTGCTGCAGACCAAGGCTCCCGATAACTCATGCTCATCTTGCCACCCAGCCTAGGGACCAGAGAACCCTGCTCACCCAGACGACTGATCACAGATAATCCTAAACCCCTCCTGCTCTGGACTAGCAGCCTTAAAAATGGCAACACTTTATCCTAGAACTACTGACTGGGGAAAATACCTGGTAAGGATTACACTTTAAGGAGGCTCACTCCTTGGAGCCTGGAATATAGACTCTGGGCCCTTCTGTTATCAGGTTCCTAAAGGGCAAGGGGCTTGTTTGTTTGTTTTCTCAACATTGGAAAGTAGAGTTTCTCTATAGCTACCTGACTCCCTAGGGTCCTACTGAAATCTTGCTTCTCTATTATCCCTGTGGCTACAAGCCTAAGGCTGATGCATGCCCACATCCTGGATGTAATTTGGGAAGGAAGAACATAAAACAAATCTTCACTGCAACAGAGCCCTTATGTCTGGGAGAGGTCCTGAGTCAAGACATGTACAGAAGATTTGTTTCCCCATCACTATTCACTTTTTCCTTCACCCCATTTACCTCTTTAAGCAAAATACAAATCTGTAATTCTGGAATAACCTGATGTTTAAGTGCTATTTCCAGAGTTTCAATAACTACTAATAGAGGAAATTTGCACCAGACACCTTATCAGAACAGTTTTTTGGTACACTTGATGTCACATGAAGTAAACTTCCATTCAGTGTGTGTCTGCATTGTACCAAACACAGTGCTAGGCTATTTGATGTGCTGGGCAAGTTGAGTCCTCAAGATAATCCTGCTAAATTACATATACCATCGCTTCTTTGCAGAAAAGTTCTCTAAGACTCAGAGAATAAGCAACTTGCCAAACTTATTTAACGTTCGGCTAGCATAGAGTCTGAATCTACCTCTAGTACTATTTGATTTGCAAACTTTGCTAAGGAAAAAAATATTTCGGGAAATTACTGTGGTTTAAAACTTGGTTTAAACATTTTTAAGGACCTGGTTTTGACCTGAGTGTGGACCTCAGGCACCTGAGTTTCCTTCGATGTTACTTTCCTCACCTGTAAATGATGAAAATAAATCCACTTCACTGAGCTTTGAAAAACTCAAATAACATAATCCACACAATAAGCATAATAACTATAGGCTATCGGTATGATCTCAAATGCCAACCTGGCTCTAAATGGAATAAATACATGTGTGTGGGGGGCGGAGTGTGTGGGTGTGGGTGTGCAGCTAGACAGAGGTTGAATTTCCACACCATGGATCCTATTTCACTCTTCAAATCATCGTAAAACTTTTGGTGGGAAATAAGTAAATATATATATCCTGCCTTCAATGAGTTTATAAGGACCATCTCTGTAAATTCATGTTCTCTCTTTCCCCAGCCATCTCTAAAAACTGATACTTGACCACAAAACCCTATTCCCAAACAGCCCATGCGCCCCCTTCACTCACCTGCTCTGGGTACTTGCTACCAATGATCTCTGCTACAGTGTTGAAGGAATCAGCATCTGGGTAGTTCTTTGCCGCCATCTTCAGCTGAATAACAATTCTGTTCCCACGAGAAGCCATTCTTGACATCATTTCTGCATCTTCCACTGTAATACAAGCTGTTGGGATTTTTGGCACACCATCTTGGTATTCCTGAATACCTGTGTGAGGACTTGAGAAAAGAAGCCACCAGGTTACCTTAAAAGTAGAAATGGACCAAAAGTATTTTTTAAGTGTCTGTATTTGGCATCTAACTCTCACTGATCTTTGTTTGCATATGAGAAATAGGATGGGTGGGCAATATTGGTTTATTTGCTTTTGATGTGAATTTTCCTTTTTGGTAAAAATAACTTAGAAAGTTCAATTTAATGGTCATCTCATTGAAAACATTACATGAAATTTATTTTGATAATTTGATGATCCTTTAAAGTTGCAAATTGCCTCAAACTCAAAAGAACATTAACAGCACCTTCACGACCAAGAGGTGAATGAACACATGTGTTCAAGGAGACAAAGAAAGCTCTGAAGTCCATCAAGGCTACAGACCAGAAGACCCACACCTCTGGGAGAAAACTGCCCAAATACATCCAGCTCTCTGTCACAGACTGGTTCTGGGGATACTCTCTTCCCACTCAAACACAGAGATCTGAACATGCAGCCCTGCATTGGTGGTAGAATGCTTTTGCAGAAAACTGTAGAACAATGGGAAATATTTGTGTTCCCATGAAGAAAAGTGCTGCATAAACCCCAGTCCTTGATTTTACTGTTACAAGAAAAAGAAAACTATGATAATTTTGGCACTAGAAAAGAAACATTACCCCAACGGTCAAGTTTTTCCTGGTAATTTCCAGATGCTTCTTAGATTACTAGAAACACTTGTAATTAAAGTTTCTATGAATCTATTGTTGATTCAACCTCTATGCATGCTAATTGAGTTTATCAAACTCATTTCCTAAAATTGCTCTGTCAAGCTGTCCCTTTTCGCTCCTGAGGTAGGACTCCAAAGCCTCCCAAACCACAACCCCCTCGGGACCAAACTGGCACAAGTTTCAGAGTGTGCACCACACCCTATCAGCCCATTCCCATCTTCTGTGAAGGCACAAGCTAACTGCCTCCCTCTTAAAAGTAATTTTTCTTTTCCTACTTCCACGTTTGTTTCAAGTTGCCTCACATTTGCACCCTTTCTCCTTCTCTCAGCCACAACACATTTCTCTCCTATAGAAGTGACTCCAACCTCCACATGCATAAACATGACAATCCAGTCTTATCACTGCTTTCTTGGTGTGACTGCACGGTTGTGACAATATGTCTGGTGACTACTTACTTACTTAGAGAAACTGCACAGCAAAATGATTAAGAACAGAGACCGCAGAGCAAAACCATCTAGGTTCAAATCTGGGCTATGGCACTTATTGCTAATTGACCTTGGGCAAATTATATATACTTGCTTCAGTGGCTTCATCTATAAATAAAAGTGATAATAATACTTAACTCACAGAGTTATTTTGCAGATTCAATTCATTTATACAAGTGAATCACTTGCCATGAAACCTAGCACTCAATAAATGCTAAATATTTATTTTGTTAACTTGTCTATTACATTATCCCTGCAGAGAGAGACTGTCTAATCTCAAATCCTTAGCATCATCTTAGCACACCCTCTATGAACATTTCTTAAATGGTAGTCTTCATCAAGAGAGAGACAAATGACTTATAAACTCAAAAACTGTAATACAGAAACCCTAAATCTCAATCCCTACTCTGGAATATGCCTAATTCACTCTAACTTCTGGTTCAGAGTGGGCCATGGGGTCATATAACCTAGGTCTAATCCTGGCTCTACCATGACATGAAGCAACCCACATGATCTCTCTGTTTCTGAGTTTCCACATCTATAAAGTGGAGAATAATATTAGTATTGACTTCATAAGATTGCTATGAGGATAAAAGATAGTATATATAAAGAATTTAAAATGGTATTTGGCACATTATAATTATTTAGTAAATATTAGTTATTATTATTTCTTCAGTGCAATTTTTCCCAATGAGTCGGTACAGTGATTAATGACCAAAAGTACTTTGAAACATGTAGGAAAACAATCTAAATATTTATTGTTCAGATTACCTTACATGATGTCTGGGATTCAACAAATTCTCCTTGTTCTCAGACTCTTACTCAAGAGGAGGTCAGTGTAACATTTCTCAACAGGTTCTTTTTTTTAAGTTTTTATTTAAATTCCAGTTAGTTAACATACAGTGTAATATTGGTTTCAGGTGTACAGTATAGTGATTCAACACTTCTATACAATACCTGTTGCTCATCACAAGTGCACTCCTTAATCCCTATTAGCTATTTAACACATCCCTCCACCCACCACCCCTTTGGTAACCATCAATTTGTTCTCTACAGTTAAGAGTCTGTTTCTTGGTTTGCCAATCTCACTTTCTTTTCTTTGCTTTTGCTTGTTTGTCTTGCTTAAATGATTTTCCTGAAGAAATTTGCATCAATAAGTTAGGGTAAGCGTTCTTAAAGTGGGAACAGTAAGTTGGGCATGCACCCATGACTCCAGGGAGGAAAACAGCACTAAAAGGCATCTTCCAACTATGGTTCTGAATTCAAGATATAAAAGCCTTTGTAATTTGTTTCTGCAATTAAGAATGTCCTCCAGGAGTGCAATCCAGCACTGTTTAGTAGAAGTAGGAAGAATGAGGACTCAACACTTTTCTCTGGAGTACTGTACTTTCACTGCCTATTGTTCTACAGGGGATGATCAGCATTAAACACCACCTTCCTGCTCCCATTTATAACCCCACCTGCAATTTAACAATAGCAAAGGGTAAACTACAAGGAAAGCTATAAAAAAATCAAAACGATTATATTTAAAAATTAATACCAATTCTTTACAAACTCTTCCAAAAATTTTAAGAGAAGGGAACACTTCCCAACTTACTCTACAAGGTCACTATTACTGATATTAAAACCAAAGATATCATAAGAAAAGAAAACTATGAACTAAAATCTTTTATGAATATAAATGCAAAAAAATCCTCAACAAAATATAAGCAAACTGATATCAGCAACAAATAAAAAGAATTATACACCATGACCAAGAGGGATTTATCCCAGAAATGCAAGGTTGGTTTAACATCCAAGAATCAATCAATGTAATATATCATATAATACAAAAGGACAAAAGCCACATGATCATCTCAATAGATACTAAAAAAACATTTGACAAAATCTAACACTCCTTCATGTTAAAAAAAAAAAAAAAGCTACAGGAGCAAGAGAGGGTGACGCTGGTATAAGGATAGACACAGATCAATAGAATAGAATTTAAAGTCCAAAAATAAACCTTTAAAAGAATGGTCAGTTCATATTCAACAATGGTGCCAAAATAATTCAATGTATATAGAAAAATATTTTCAAAGAAATGGTGCTGGGGTCAACCAAATATCCACATGTAAGAGAAAAAAGCTGCACCCATATATCACAACATATATAAAAATCAATTAAAAAATTAATTACAGGGGGCACCCGGGGGGCTAAGTTGGTTGTGTCTGACTCTTGATTTTGGCTCAGGTCATGATCTCAGGGTCATGAGATTGATCCCTGAGTCTGGCTCTGTGCTGGGTGTAGAGCCTGCTTAAGATTCTCTCTCTCCCTCTTTCTCTGCCCCTCCCCCTCCTCCCTCTCTCTCTCTCTCTAAAAACAAATAAAGATAAAAAAAATAAAATAAAATATTTAAAAAAAATTAATCACAGACCTAAATGTAAGAGCTAAAACTATAAACATCATGACTTCAGATAATGAAATTATTTCTTAGATACAACACCAAAATCATAAGCAACAAAAGAAAAAATAGATAAATTGAACCATGGAAATTGTAAACCTTTGTATTTCAAAAGACACCATCAAAAAATGAAAAGACAATGCACAGGATGGGAGAAAATTTTTGTAAATTGTGTTCCTGATAAAGCACTTATATCTACAATATATACAGTCTACAATATATAAAAACTTGAAACCCTGTACATTATTGATGGGAATGTAAAATGGTGAAGCCACTTTAAAAACAATTTGACAGTTCCTTAAAAAGTGAAACATGTACTGCTAGGTATATACTCAAAAGAAATGAAAATATATATTCACACGAAAACTTGCACACAAATGTTCATAGAAGCATTATTCATAATAGTCAAAGGTAAAAACAACCCTTATGTCTATCAGCTCATGAATGGATCAATAAAATGTATGTCCATACAATGGAATATTATTCAGCAATAAAAAAAATTATGTTCTTATACATGCTGCAACATGGATGAAACTTAAAAACATTATCTTAAGTGAAAGAAGTAAAAAAAGACCACATATCGTAAGAGTCCACTTACATGAAATGTTTAGATAGGTAAATCTGTAGAGGTAGAAAGTAAATTTTAGGTTGCCTAGAGCTGGTTGAGGGCGAGGAAAATGGGCAGTGAATGCTAATAGGTATGGGGTTTCTTTGGGGGCTAATGACAATGTTTTAAAATTAATGATGAATGTTGTACAACTTCATGAATATCAGCTCTCCTGATTCACCAGCTTGCTGGCTATAGATCTTGGGACTTCGCAGCCTCCATTATCACATGAGTCAAGTCCTCATAATAAATCTCTTTATATATATATATATATATAGGTTTTCTTTTTCTAAAGAATCATGACTAAAACAGCCACAATGAGTCAAATTTCTTTTTATTTGCAGCCAAATATATTCCCAACATTTGCAATGACCAAAATAGATAAATGATGCATTACATATTTAAAAATTATAAATATTAACCTTACACCTTTCTTTTCACAAATATACAGCTTCATATCAAATAAATACATCCAAATTAAAATTACCGAAAGAAGCCATTATAAAGGATTCTGGGAAGATAGTGAAGTAAACCTGCCCTGTAAGAAGTACAACTGACAGAATGGGAGAAGATATTTGCAAATGACATATCAGATAAAGGGCTAGTATCCAAAATCTATAAAGAACTTACCAAACTCAACACCCAAA